CAACAAATGCTGGGATCATAATACCCCAACCAGAACAATCCAACCCCCCAAAAAAGCCCCCTTCATACATATATTTTATCTCAGGTTAAGTAGCCAATAATAATAGGGATGCACATGGCACTCATCTTTTCACTACATGCTGAATTGTGCATATGACGTACACATTTCTGTCAAAAGGATAATGTCCTTCAATTAGCATATAGCGCACACACTACTATACTTTTGCACATGACACTATGATGTTTCACACATCCCTCTTCATGGAATATCACCTGTCAATTATGCTGAACTAGAAGTGACCTCATGCTTTCTGATCAAAACGCATGCTCAGCCTGAGTTAGAAGGTATAAAGGTTATGCCTTCTGGAACAGTCTCACTATACAGTATAGAGGGCATGTGTAAAAAACCTCCTATATGCCTTGAACCAATTTCAACTAAAGACATAGAAATAATTATTTAAATAACGAGAACAATCTTCGGGGCCAATAGAATGCTGATAGTTCTGTTGTGGGGTGTAGTTACTGTGGGAGTGGTGGAAATGTGCTGGCAGGTTTTACATTTCTTGTCCCAGCTTGGTCTGGATCCATGCAGTGTGCTTTGGGTCCATGCGCAACTGGTGCCTCTTAAGTCAGGGGGGCATGTGGACCCCCCCAATGCCACTGGGGAGGGGGTGTCCCCCGGCGGCTGATCTCACTGACCATGGGTCAGGGGTGTCTCCCTGCAGGCGATCGTGCTGATCATGGCCTATCTCACTCACCAAAAAGTGGCCACATTGCTTCCAGAAGTCCCACAGCCACTTCCAGAAACAGCGTGGCTGCTTTTGCTGGGCTTCCCAGGTGGTGCGCACAGGGTGGGCACTGGTGCTCCTGCCTGCCCCCCGCTCGATGCTTAAACAGAGAGTGCAGCCTGACAGGGGTTGTACCAGCGCTCTCGGGGTGCACATGCACCCCCGTGCACCCTCTATGCATCGCCACTGTTTGGGCCATAGGAAGTTTGCTTCTGGTGATGAGGTTGCTGAGTTTCAGTGTTTGTTTAAAGACTAAGATGGGTGGTTCTGGAAAGATCTCTTTAAGAACTGTGTCTTCTTCTAGTATGAGTTGCAATTGTTTGAGGATTTTCTGTATAGGTTCCAGGGAAGGATGTATAGCAGAC